GAATTAGATTGCAGCATTTCCAAGTAATGGATTACTATACAAAAACAAAACACAAAGCTGGAAAAATTATAGTTCTGCTCATTAACATGAGTTTTTAAAGAAAACTATATAACAGTGAGCCAAAGAAGCAAGAATATATATAATATATATATAGAGAGACTATATATGTGTGTGTATGTGTGCATATATATATTATATGTATATATGTATATCTCCAAGTGTGGAAAGTTTAGAGAAAATCCTGTTAGGACACACAGAGAGGTGGGATGCTGTGGAAAGGCAGGACAATGCATTGTGTGTAGGGCTGCACCTGTGACCTCAGCTATTTGGGAGGCTGAATTAGGAAGATCACTTGATTCCCAAAGTTGAAGGCCAGCCTGGGCAGCACAGCAAGACAACCTGTATCAACAAACAAACAAAAAACAAAACAGAAAGGAAGAAAAAGGCAGCTATGGGAGCTATCCTCTAATTCCTGGCTGGTAGCTCAGTGGCAAAGCTCTTGCCTAGCATGCGTGAGGCTCTGGGGCTCCATTCCCTGAACCAGGGCATACAGTGGGGCATGTGGGCTTTGGGGCACTTGGAATGTTCCCTTCATGGACCTGGATGCTCAGTATACTGGAGGTTTTTTTTTTTTTTTTGATACCGGGGATCGAACTCAGGACCTTGCGCTTGTGAGGCAGGTGGCAGAACCACTGAGCTAAATCCCCAACCCTTTTGTTTTTTTTTTTGAGACAGGGTTTCACTGTGTAGCCCAGGCTGGCCTTGAAGTCTCTGATCCTCCTGCCTCAGCCTCCAGAGTGCTGGGATTACATTCGTGCGCCACCACACCTGGAGTTTTATTAATTTCTATAGTGCACATATGCACTTTACAAGCCCCTCCTTATATGTCACACATTTAAAACACACACACAAAGGATGGTATGTGGCCCTATTCTGCCTCCTTTTCTATCCAGCTCCATTCTGTCCCCAGCTGCAGAAGAGGAGCAGGTCCCCTGGAAGAGTGCCTTTCTTCAGTTCAGAGGGGGTCAGAGCGAGAGGCACAAGGGCCTCCCTCCTGTTGGGCGTTGGCCACTCTGTGGGGCCAGCCGAAGCCAGCTGCCCTGCTGTCTGTGCCAGCTCTGGGATTAGGCCGGGGCCCTGGCCCACCTGTTGTTTCACTCATGCAGCTCAAACAGAGTGGCTGAGCCTTTATTGTGAGCGCTGGGTGTTGCTTGCCGGCTGAGAGATGGAGGAGACAGTTTTCAGCCTCAGAGATCTTAGGTACACTAGAGGTGACCGCACACACACAAATAACTACGGCCCCAGTAAAATGGGAGCCATAAACTGTCTCGATGGACCTGTGAAGGAGTTGAGCACCTACCATGTCTCAGGAATTGTGCCGGATTCTGATCATATAAAGATGGAGAAATCACACTGCCCCACGCCTCAAGTCCACGGCCTACTGCAGGGAAACCGACACAGGTAAAATGCACATACCCCTGTAAACCCATGCCCGCGGGACATGGGGAGGGAGGAGGGGCTGCCCAGCAAGGACGGAGCCTCAGGGCTGAGGGCGGGACAGAGGTGGGGCAGGAGAGGCTTTCCTGAAGTGGGAGGCTTCAGGGTCCAGTAAGCAGAAGCAGAAGGTGAAGGCTGTGGGGCTCCCTGGGCACAGGGGCCAGCTGGGGCAAAGGCTCCAGGGTTGGCTGTGTGGCAAGGAGGGTGGCTTGCAGCAAGAACCCAGGCTCAGCAGGAGAGGTGAGCAGCCAGCAGGGGTCAAGGTGCACCACAGTCTTATTTGCCTTGCAAAACCTCAGATTGTTCCTTTTTTCCCCTTCCTTCCTTCCTCCTCCCTCCCTCTTTGCCTCTCTCTTTTCCTTTCTCCTTCCTTCCTTCCCTCCCTCTCACCACCTTCCCTCCCTCCCTCCCTTCCTGATGGGTTCTTGCTAAATTGCCCAGATTATCCTCTAATTCCTGGCTGCAGCTCTCCTGCGTTAGCTTCCGGAGTAGCCAAGGTTACTGCTAAAACCTCTCTCTCGGAGGTGCTGGGAGCCACTGAAGGGTCTGGGGAGCTTGGTAACTCCCTCTGGGTTAGCATGAAGGTTGAGGGCAAGGACTGGAAGAAGGGAGGCAAGTAGGCACGTTGTTGTGGGGATCCGAGGAATAGTTAGGAGGCTCCCGGCTGGCCTCTGGGTGCGGAGCGGTCACACCCCAGAACCCTCCGCGCTGGTGGGAGCGAGTGGAGCGCCTGTCCTACTAGTGGGGCCATGGGCTCTGCACATGGCCAGAAGTGGGGCCAGCCAGGTATATGGGCAGAACTCTGGACCATCTAATCCCAGGGCTTCCGAAAGCTGGCAGATGGGCAGGCCCAGCCTGAGGAAGAGGAAAGAGTATGAGCGTGTAGTGAGATTGTCATAAATCAGATGTGTGCACTTTAAAGAACTCTCCTTGGAAGTATCTACAATTAAATCGATCAATAAGTAACTGTATCACTTAGAGGATGCATCTCCCAAAGAAATCCCTTAAAGACTCAAAAGTGGTTTTACCCTGAGAGTGGGAGAGTGGGTGGATGGGACAGGATGCAGAGTTTTTTCCTGTTATATTTTTAAGTAGGCCCTAGGACTAGGGGGTGCAGCTCCACGGTAGAGCATTTCCCTAGCACGTATGGGCTCTGGGTTTGATTCCCAGTGTCAAAAAGTATTTTAAAATTATAATATTTTAAAAAACATACACATAAATCATATCCAAAACCAGAAACAATACAACACTGGTCTTCGTTTTGAGTTTATGTCCTTTCTACTTTTAAATTGTTAGAAGTGGTCTTTCTTGTATGTAATTATCATGGTAAAGACCTCTCCCCCATGACTTCAGTTAGTAAGTACAATAAAACACGGTGGATCCCCGCGTGTGCTGAAACTCACCACGGAAGCGGCGCGCCCAAAGCACCCTGTGGGAAGGCAGCAAGCGCGGCTCCGCACCTGTGGTTTTGCGGCCGGCCGGCAGGCGGCAGACGAGCTCCACGCAGCTCCCGAGCTGGCCCTGCAGCCACGCGGAGCCCCGGGGAAGGGAGGGCTCAGGACCACATCAAGGCTTCAGATCCTGACCTACAGCCGCCAGGGCCTTGGGTCTCAGCTCCCGTCAGGCAGGCCACGAGCTGGGAATCCTTCCCCAGTCTGAATCTCTGGCTCCTGGGCGTGGCTGGCTCACCTGCTCCCACCCAACCCACGCGCCTCGGCTGGAGACCCTCGGGCGGTTCACCGTGCCATCTTCACTTGATCTAAGCCCAAAGGCCAAGAGCGATCACACTTTGCCATCTTAGGAAGCCCATCCCCGCCTCCTGACACACACACACTTGCCTCCTACACCCTGTGGTCGTGAAGATCCAGGAGCTAAATTCTAAAAAGAAACGAGATGGATGCAGAGATAAAGGAATCGCTACTGTCCACACCAGAGGGAGAGAATTAGGACTCTAATTCTCTGCGGGGATGCCCCCGCAGGACCCAGTGGATTATCTGAGAAGGTTCATTGTCACCCTCCAGAGATTTGGTCTGGGATCTAGGTGTCTCCTAATTCTGATCTGGGGCCTGCCCAGACCACACTTCAACATGCCATTAGCTTCCGTTATCCTCCGCCAGGACCCGCACTGTGGCCATGCAGGAACTGGAGTGGAAGGGCACCACCTGGGAAAGAATGGTGCGGTGCCAGAAGGCTCCCACCACCAGAGAAGCGACTCAGGCTGCACAGTTCAGTTGGATTTTTTGTTTTATTTCACATAAAGAATCAGAGGAACAATCACATTCTTCCATAGCCTGTTTCCTGTTGCTGTAACTGATTACCGCAGACTAGTAGCTTGGAGAGGCTTTTCAGCTCAGTTTTGGAGGCTGGAAGCACAAAAACAGGCAGTCTGGTGAAGCTCCTGCTTCATAGAAACTGGGAGGCCTCTAAGGACAAGTAAGTTCGAGAACCTGTTCATGCCACTGGGACCCCTCCTCCAAATGCCAGTTAACAAATGACTCAGAGCTGGTTGTGGTGACGCATGCCTGTAATCTCTGCACTGGGGAGGCTGAGGCAGGAGGATCATTATGAGTTCGAGAACAGTCTGGGATACATAGTGAGTTCCAGGGCAGTCTCAACTACATGGTGAGGCCCTGTCTCAACACACACCCCCGCAACCAAGACTCAGGATTGAAGCTGCGACACATGCACTTCTGGGGGGGTCACACCCCAAATTGGCAAGGCTCCAGCAACACTGATGGGACCACACCTCCCACTCCAGCACATTTTGAATGTCTGCAGGGGCCTCATTCCAGCTACAAGTTTGAGCTGATCACCACTGTACCGGCATCCAAACAGCACGGGGTAGGATGGGGACATGAACTGAATCTTCCCCTTAAAATGGACAGGATTGGGATTGGTGAGGAGCTGACTCCACCTGCTGGCTGTGAACAGCACTTGGCTGAAGGCCAAGACTAAAACCTGGGAACAAGTGCCCCTGGGCTGGGAGCTGAGAAAGCCAGCTCCTCACTCAGGAGCTTAGTGCGTCCAATAACCCAGACTCAGTCCTCTCAAGACAGCACCTGGTCTGGCATGCGGTGCCCTGAAACCTGGGGCTGGCATGGTCGGAAGACTTCCATATTCACCGCTAGCATATCTGGATCCTGACTCTAATTCTGACTTTGAGACTCACTTTGTCTTTTTCTTTTGTAATAGGGATTGAACCCAATGCCTTCACACCCAGCTGGATCCCCGACCCTTTTGAGACAGGGTCTCACTAAGTTGTAAAGTTGCCCAGACTGGGCTTGAACTTGTGCTCTTCCTGCCTCACCTTCCCAGAGTGCCGGTATTATAGGCGTGGACCACTATACCCTGCACAAATCAGTCTGAAAAACCTCAGGGACGGTGTCAAGTATGGTAGCACATGCCTGTGGTCCCAGCTATTCAGAAGGCTGAGGCAAAAGAATCACAATTCGGGTCAGCCTGGGCAACTTGGCACGACCCCGTCTCAAAATAAAAAGGTCTGGGGATGTAGCTCAGCCCTCCGTATTCAATCTTCAATACAAAAAAAAAGAAAAAAGAAAGAAAATTGGAGAGATCGGGGGCTGAGACATCCTCTATCCCAAGCATCAATTCGAACTTCTTCAGGCAGCAGCCACTGGGCAGTAGTAACACAATTAGCCATAGGGCATCTAGAGAAAGCAGACAGCCTCAGCTGAAGCTGGACTGGGTGATCCAGGCCTAGTTGGCCAGGGCCTGTGCCTGCTTCCCAGTCAGCTGTGCAAGTCACCTGGCCAGGACCCATCCGTATAGTGTAGAAGGCTCCCTGTGCCTGGCACCGGTGTCCTGAGCTGCTGGCAGTGAAACTCAAGAAACTGGCAAACAGGATGAGGGTTTAGGGTGTTCTTGAGTGGGTGGGTCTCCCCACCAGAGGTCCCCCCAGGAGAAAGGGGTGTCTGTGGGTGCCACCCCTGAAGGTGGGAAGTTGTGGAGCCAGGGCATGGTCACCAAAGCCCTCCCAGCACTGTGGAAAAAGACAGCATGCTCCTGCCAAGTCTGTGGGACGCATTCCTGCTTGGCTGGTGCAGCCAGGAGTCTGTGTGTTGGCAGCCAGTGCGGAGAGGCCAGCAGGCTGCCAGGCAGAGGCTGCAGGGCCCGCCTCAGGACGCAGGAGAATGGCGGATCTGCTTCTGAAGCTAGGCCTCTGGGTGCTGGGGCACGGGGCTAGTGGAAATCTGCATTGAAGGCTCTGCCGATGACCAGTCGTCTCACTTCGCTGGTCCCAGCCCCGATCTCATACAGCTTGGCATCTCGAAGAAAGCGGCCCAAGGGAAAGTCATTGATGTAGCCATTGCCACCTGCAGCCGAGGTTTGGACAGAGAAGAAAGGATAACCCAAGTGATGGGCTTGAGCAAAGCAAGGAAAGCAAACAGAAGGCATAGTCCAGTTGTGTTTACGGGGACTGGTTCCAGGAGCCCTGAGGATCCCCAGCACTGCGCATACTCAAGTCCCTTCCTGCCTCCCAGAGTGCTGGTATTACAGGCTTGCACCCCTATGCCCGGCTCGTCTCTCTCTCTTTTTTTTTTTTCCTGGTACCAGGGATCGAACTCAGGACCTTGAGCTTGTGAGGCAGGCGCAGTGCCCCTGAGCTAAATCCCCAGCCTTCAATCTTTGAAGAAGCTCAAGGATGGGGTCAAGTACGCCTGTAGTCCCAGCTACTCAGAAGGCTGAGGCAGAGAATCAGAAATTCAGGTCAGCCTCAGCAACTCGGCACAACCCTGTCTCAAAATAAAAAGGTCTGGAGCTGCATATAAAATGGTTCCGTGTCTGCATATGACATGCTCACATGTACCTACATTTTCAGTCCTCTACAGGTTACTTATGTAAATACTTTATGTGTAGGGGATAATGACAAGAAAGTAAGCTACGTTGACTTGGAGAATATCAGGCTGGGTCAGGTGGGCAGGGGGCTGGAGCTGAGGCAAGGAGGTCCCCCGGAGTGGCAAGGCCACCAGGCAAAGAAAGAGACAAACCACTGGCAGACACAGTAAAACAGGACAAGAAGAGACTGGCACAGCAGACTAAGGAGTCAGGCCTGGGCCAGGTGGTTCCAGTCTGTGCCCTTACCCACTGAGAAGAGAGGCAGTTCCGCCCAAGGAATCTCTTTGCCTGTATCCCCATGAGGCCAGGTGGGCAGAGGAGAGGGTCACTGCTGAAGGTAGTCGCTATAAACAAAGCCTACAACGCACAACAGCTAATTTGTGGAAGAGGTGACAGGTGTGGTATATATACACAATGGAGTATTACTCAGCCACAAAGAAAGGATCATTTTGAGTCATGCACAGGAAGACGGATGGGTCTTACAGCCATAATACTAGGTGAAATCAGACACAGGTTAAATATCACACAGTCTCTCTAATATGAGTAATTTAAAGAGCAAAATAAAGAGGTGGCAGGAAATGAGGCAGATGGAGATGGGAAGGGGATCTGTGGAAGGAGGGTGAGAAGGGAGGATGGGGGAGAGGCAATAAAAATGATCAAGATTCGACGTGTATATGTATGTACCAGACCCTAAGACGAATCTTTCCTTTTGTTTTGTGGTCCGGGGGATCCAACTCAGAACCTTGTGCTGGTAAGGCAAGCATGGTGCTACTGAGCTAAATCCCCGGCCCTCCGAGATGAATGTAATTATTATTGGGATTACAGGCTGCGCCACCACGCCCGGCTTTCTCCCTGCATCCTTTCTCTTCCTCTGGAAAGCCCGTCAGAGAAATCCAGGGGAGATCAGCCCGGCACCTCTCTCCATCTTTCCCTCCCTCCTTCCTTCATGTATGTGTCTAGACACACACACACACACACACACACACACACACACACACACACACACACACATATTTTTTTTTTAAGGTAGTAGCTGCTTGTGGCCCCTCAGAAGTCTTCTCACGGGCTTTTCTGTTTCTTCCTAACTGGGGCACTGACAGGCTGAGGCCAGCTCCGCCAGGGCTGGCACAGGTGGAGAGGCAGCCCCAGAGGGAGGCTGTGGGACACTCACCAAAGCACTGGATGCCATCCAGGGCCACCTGCGTGGCACACTCGGCCGAGTAGAGAATCACCCCGGCGCAGTCCTGGGGAGGAGGCCAGGTCAGCAGGTCCTACCGTCATGCAGTGCGGTCCCAACTGCCCCCTCCGCTGGCCCTCACCTTGGCAGTGCAGTGGCCCTCGTCACAGGCCTTGGCCACATTGTAGACGTACTGCCGACTCGCCATGAGGCGGGTGTACATGTCCGCCATCTTCCCCTGCATCAGCTGGGCAAAACGGAGGTAGAGTCAGCTGGCCGGGATGCTCCCTGTTGCCAAAGCTAGTCAGTGGCAGTGACATCCTGGCAGCCAGAAATGGGAAGTGGAACATAGAGAAGAGAGGACTCGCCTAGGATGGCAGAAACTGGAACAGATCTGGGGACGCTGCACGCTGGCACAGCCCTCGCCATGTCCAGGACACCTCGTCCCCAAGGCACTGAGGATCTGCCTTGACGTGCATCAACATCCTGCAGCTGCTTCTGACCAACAGTATCAAACCAGAAACGCCATTGCCCTTCCCCTAAGCCACCCACAAGCTCCACACGTCACCCCCAGCCTCCCCACGTCTAGTTCATTCATCTCAAGTAGAAATGAAGGGGCACGGGGGTGCACAGCCTGAAAACTTTCAGTCAGGCTATGTGTGCAAGCAGCTGGTGCTCTCAGCATTCAAGCTCACTGTGCTACAAGGGTGGTCAGTGTCCCCAGCGCAGGCCCTATTTCCTCACCCATGACAAAAAGCCCCATGCCAATGAAAGAGGACTTCCCAGCAAGGCAGTCTGATCACCTGGAAGTGCCCGATCTTCTGGCCAAAGGCCTCCCTCATGTGCAGGTAAGGAATGGTGTGGTCAAGGACAGCTTGCATCAGCCTGCCAGAAAGGAAAAGGTCATGGAGGTGTGGCACCACCCTGCCAGTGCCAAGTGGGATGGCAGCATGCCAGGGAAAGGCCTGATAAGAGAGCTCTACAAGATAAGGGCCAGAGAAACTCCTGCCACCCTGGCTGTTACAACACCGGCTGCCCATACTCTACCTGTTTTTCCAGGCAGGAGGTGGGAGAAGGCATCTCCCTCCCTGCAGGGTGCCCGAGGCCAGGGCCCGGCCAATGCCTGCCTCTCCTTTCATACCCACCTCAAGCAGAACTACCGCTTGGCTCTGTCACGTGACATTTCTTTCCCTTCTGTGTGAAGAAATTCAATGTAGGAAGAGGAGTTTGTCTCTGAGACAGTCACAGCCAGGAGGTGGCTTTGTCCTCAAGGGGAAGGATGCTGCTGCCTCTCATGCCTGCACTTGCCAGGGAGGCTGAAGGACCCCAGTTCCCAGACTCTTCATTCTTACCCAGAGGGCCCCCAGCTACTCCTCTGTCCACCCAGCCTCACACTTACCCAAGGGGCCCACCTGCCAGCACCAGGCGCTCCAGGTCCAGCCCGCTCATCAGCACATAGACGCCCTTACTCTCCTGGCCCAGGATGTTGGCAGCTGCCGGGATGAATGATGGTCAAGAGAGGGCTGCTGACAGCCTCTCCCCTTTTTTTTTTGTTTTTCATTTTACAGTCCTGGGGATTGAACCTAGAGCTTTGACACGGAGACGTATCTATCCCCATTCTGGTTTAGATCTAGAGTGTCCCCTGAAAGGCTCACATGTTTGGAAGGTGACTGATTGGCTCTTGGGTACACTAGACCCGTGGGCAGATTAATCCACTGAAAAGCTCAGAACGGGAGTGCAGTTAGAAGGTGGGGTCTGCTCAGAAAAGGCTGGTCACTGGGGTGCGATCTGAAAAGATCTTTCTCCCTGGCTCCTTTCTTCACTTTCTGTTTCCTACTTGCCAAGGGATGAGCAGTTGTTGCCCACCCAGGCCCTTCTACCATCCCCTCTTGGAGCCAGCTGAGCATGGACTGAAAATGTGAGGCAAAATAAACCCCTCCTCTTCTGTTGTTTGTGTTAGGTATTTTGTCCTAGGAATAAGAAAGTGACTAAGACAATTCTCATCCCTTTAAAATTTTTATTTTCAATTAAAAAAAAAAAATTTTTTTTTTTAAAGGCAGGGTCTTACTGTATAGCCCAGCCTGGCCTTGGATTCCCAATAGTTCTCCTTCCTTAGCCTCCTGAGTGCTGGGATTATAGGCATGTGCCACTATGCTCAGCTCTTAAATTTTATTTTGAAAGAGGATCTCACTAAATTGCTAAATTGCCCAGGCTGGGCTTGAACTTACCACCCTCCTGCCTCAGCCTCCCAAAGAGCTGTAATTTCAAGCGTGCACCATCATATTACTTTTTTTACAAAGGGACTAGGTTTAGGTCAGTGTGGTTGTGCATATCTGTAATCCCAGTACTCTGGGAAGGTGAGGTAAAAGGATTGGAAAGCTGAAGCCCAGCCTGGGGCAACTTAGCAACTTAGTAAGACCCTGTCTGGAAATAAAAAGGGCTAGAAATGTAGTTCAGTATGAAGGGCCAGGTTCAATCCTCAGTACTGAAAAAAAGGGGATGGTGTTGATAACATGCTCTCACCCAAGGCAGAGATGTTACGTGACCTTCCACTAGGGTTCTGGTGAGAGAGAATGACCTTTTACCATTTCCAGTCTGAAACAGTTTCCAGGACACCTCCCCCCTCATCCGTAACACAAGAAACAAAGTCCCAAGTTGTCAGATCTTTCCCTGCTCTTCCTGGGCTCCTTTGGATGGCAAAGTAGACAAGCTAATTGGTGTTGAAGCTCCTCCATTCCTCTTGGGTTCTTTCTACACCTAGACCCGTGCAGGAACCACAGAAGCGCCCTTCTCTAGCTGTGGGCTTTGGTCCGGGGCCGCCTCCCCACAGGGTAGCCCATGAAAGCTGCTTTGTCCAGGAGCTGGGCCAACTTGTGCCAGTCACTGAAGCTGCCGAGCAAGCACCCATCCTGCTAGGAAGCTAGGACCATGGATGACGTTGGGATGTGTGGGCAGGAAACTTGACACCGCTGACCTGCCTTTCACGCTGCTAACTTGCCCAGGTCCCCTCCCCAGGCGTCCCTTTCAACTCCAGCAGACTTTTCCAGGGTGGCAGGTTGTGGGTGGCCAGGGTGGGCTGTGGCGGAAGCACACGCAGTCAGTCCTACTTGGTGACCAGAGCTATGCCCTTGTGTGCACAGGCTCTCCATGAAGCTGCCTGGGGTCACACTTTCAGCTAGAACTCAGGAGAGAACACACACCTACTGTGACCACACTGCCTCTCCTGGCCCGAGCTTCTTCGGATGGTTCATTAGCATCAGAAATGAGCCACCCTGAGACTGCACAGATACAGATACAGGAAGTCTGAAGGATATGAGCCAGCTGGCAGGGGTAGCTCTGACCTTTAGCCCCAGCTACTGGAATACAAACCCCAGGAAGTACATAATCCCGAGGAAACAGCCCCTCCCTCCCTCCAGCCAGGCCAGCATTCCTGCTCCAGCCTTCCACATGCCTTGTTAGAAACCAGCTAAGGAGAGGAAGGACAGGGGCTTTCTCTCGGCCTGAGAACAACCAGATGAGCTCATGCGAGGGTCGAGGCAGAGGAGGCCTCCCCATTCTCAGAGACTCTTACCGGGAACTTTGCAGTCTTCAAAGATCAGCTCACAGGTGTTCGAGCCCCTCATCCCCAGCTTATCCAGCTTCTTGGCAGTGCTGAAGCCTGGCATTCCCTTCACAGCAAACAAAAGGAGGCCTGGGCTAGGCTTTCCCAAGGGGGTCTGGTAAAGGAAAAGCCTTTTCCTTTTCTCTAGGTCTCCATGACTGCCCAGCACCCACAGTGAGATCGCTCCGGTCCCGAGACTGCACCTCCTCTTGCTGCGGGTTTGCTTTCCCTCCAGTTCTCATGGGAGCAGTTAGTTCTTCCCCAGTGAAACTCCCAAGCCTGCCTGCCTCTGCTTCCCTCCTGCAGGGGCCATTACTCCCAGGATATTCACTTCCTCTGGCCCTCTTCTTGTTTCTTTGCCATCTGTTCCTAATGGAGTCCTGCCAGGGATGGCTTCCACCACTTGCATGCCTGGGTGTGCTGGCAGGTGCCCAGCAGGGCACTGGTAATGGGCTCTGGGTAGGGAAGGATGGATGAGTTACCACACAACCTGGAAGTTTCTAGGCACAGCCAGACACCTTCTGTGCCAGTCCCGGACAGCTGTTTTCCCCTTGTCTAGGAAGGGTGCCGCAGACCTCTGCAACACATTGCTCTGTCTCTGGACAGGGGCTGGGGCATAGCTCAGTGGCAGACTGCTTGTCTAGCCAGCGTGAGGCCCTGGGTTCCATCCCCAGTACCTTTCCTTCTTCCTCCTCTTTCCCACACTGAAAAACAGCCCAGATTCCCAAGTTTTAATTCCGAGTCCTGCTCTATCTTTCTCTCTCACCCAGCTCACTAAGGACATCCTGGCTGTCACAGCTAGTGGCCTCCTTTCAGCCCTCTTCTTGGACCTCTTCATACACCATCTTCAGACCTGACCCATGACCCTCCTTCGCTTGCCTTTGGTCATCCTCCTCTCAGTCTCCTTAGCTGTCCCCTCTGCCTCCCCATGTCACTGGAGCAGAACACACAACACTGATCAGACAGAAGGCACTACGCCACCTCTGGTCTCCACCAGAATGGAGTAGCCTCCTTGACCACATGCCCACCACCCTTACCTTCTCCACAATGAAGGCTGTGATGCCCCGGGAAGCCGGCACAGAAGCCACATCTGTCTTGGCGTAGACAATGAGGATGTCAGCATCGGGACCATTGGTGATCCAGAACTTGTTGCCATTCAGGACATAGTGATCTCCTAAGGGCAGGACATGGGCTCCCTGCTCAAGCCAACTTGGCCTGTCTGAGCCAGGTGGTCACAGAGCTTCCTGCAAGGGGAAGCTGCCCAGCTGAGAAGCATGCTGGAAACCTGGCAGGGGCCACCCCCAACCACCCCCTCATTCTGCTAAGTTGTGTTTCAGCTCCCTAGTTGACAGTGGTCTTACCTTTCTTTTCTGCTTTCAGCTTCATGGAGACAACATCAGAGCCAGCATTGGGCTCGCTCATGGCTAGGGCTCCGATGTACTCGCCACTAATCAGCTACAGGGGAAACCACAAGCTCGTTTAGGGCCTTGGCAGCTTCCTCCAGCCGCTCTGCCGTGGCCTCTTCCTGGTGGCACTGGGCCCCAGCACACTCTCTCGGCACAAGTTGTCCCCAGCATCCACAAGGCTGACAGTGCTGTAGGTAGAACTGCAACCTCATGCACAACAGGCCAACCCTGAGCTGCACCGGCAGTCCCTGCTTCCATTGGGTGCCCGGCCTACTATTTCTCTTCACTTGTTGTCTGTTTAGTGCATAACTCAAGGAGTTCTAGCCCTATTTTCAATTTGTTTTGTACATAAACTTTATATTTTTGCTGGGTATGGTGGTGCATGCCTATATTCCCAGCCCTGGGAGGCTGCAACAGGTGGATCACAAGTTCAAGCCCAGCCAGGGCTATATAGTAGGTTCAATTCCAGCCTGAACTACATAGCATGACCCTGTCTCAAAACAAACCAAAAACTGTAGTCAAAGCAACCCTGGACCCATGACCTCACCTTGGGAAGGTATTTCTCCTTCTGGGCCTCATTCCCATTGCGCACGATCTGGTTGGTGCAGAGGTTGGAGTGGGCTCCGTAGCTGAGTCCCACTGATCCAGAAGCTCTTGATATCTCCTCCATCACCAGCACGTGCTCCAGGTAGCCCAGGCCGGAGCCACCGTACTGAACTGGGAGGAGTGGTGCAGGGGCAGAAGTTATACTGGGGCTGGGCAGGAACCTCACCTTAATGGTTAACCCCTACAGCACCTGTTCCGAGTCCCCAGCCAGGCCCCCAGGCAGTTGCCATAGGCTCTTCTAAGCCTGCAGAACTGATCTGTTTCGGGGGTGCCAGCTGAGTTACAGTTCAGAAGACAGTCACTGCCACTCCCACACTATCCGTCCTACACACCGAGCAGCACTATTACAAAAGCTACAGAGGCAGAGGAACAGGAGTGAATGGAGAGTAACAGAAGCACAAAGGTGGAGTGGTGGGCTGAGCCCGAAGTGCCAAGAACCAGAGACAAAGCCAAGAACATGTGCAAGGACCTTGGGAAGGCAAGACTTCTGTACCGTTGCCTTGGACCCAAAGTGGGACCAGTAACCACTGCCAGGGGGATGCCTGGGCCACACAGCGAGTTCAAGCCTAGTCTGTACTACATAGTGTGAGACTATCTCAAAAAAAAAAAAAAAAAAGTTCCATTAGATGGTTTTATCTGATCTTTCTTTTTGAACTGAATTCAGGACCTTGTGCTTACAAGGCAGGGGGCAGCGCCACTGAGCTAAATCCCTGGCCCTTTCTTTTCTTTTTTCAATGTGGTGCTAGGAGCTGATCCAGTTTCCTGTATTCTAAGCCCACACTACCACTGAGCTGCATGATTTCTAATTGGCTCTTTCTTCCATTAAGTATAATATGAAGCTGGGTGTGGTGGTGCACACTTGTAAATCCCAGCACTCTGGGAGGCTGAGGCAAGAGGATGGAAAATTTGAACCCAGCCTGGACAATTTAATGATTTGGCAAGATCCTGTCTCAAAATAAAATATAAAAAGGGGACTGGGAAAGTAAAGTAGCTCAGTGTGAAAGCCCTGGATTCAATCTCCAGCACTGCCAAAATAAAAAACAACAGGGCTGAGGATTTGGCTCAGATTTTGCTTGCTGGAAGCACAAAGTCCCAAGTTTGATCCCGGTACCCAAAACTAGGGGACTGGGAAAGTAAAGTAGCTCAGTGTGAAAGCCCTGGATTCAATCTCCAGCACTGCCAAAATAAAAAACAACAGGGCTGAGGATTTGGCTCAGATTTTGCCTGCTGGAAGCACAAAGTCCCAAGTTTGATCCCGGTACCCAAAACAAACAAACAAAATAACAACAACATCTGATTTAGAAGCAAGTACTTGGCAGGGTGGGGATTTGGCTCATACATCCTCAAAACACACTGAAGAATCTTGTTTAGGAGTTCCCAACACCTTTGCACCAAAGAATTTTACATGATGTTGCCTAAATTCTATTTTTCTTTTCAGTTTTGGGGATGGAGCCTGGGCCACTGCCCTCTTCACCACAAAGCTGTACCCCCTCAGGTACCATTGGCTCTCGTTGTGTTTTTCTGAGACATGTAGTTCAGACTGGCCTTGAACTCATTAAGTAGGCCAAGTTGGCCTCACTTTAAACCTCCCCAGGGCTGGATTATGGGCATGTGCCACCTCGCCAAGCCTGGTCCTTTTTTTAAAATTTCATTTGGAGGGCCAGGGATTTAACCCAGTGTTCCGCCGCCTGCCTCGAAAGCACAAGGTCCTAAGTTCAATCCCTGGTACCAAAATAAATAAATAAATACATATTCCATTTTGAGAAAAGTTTTCAATTAGCAATAATCGCGCCTCGGATAAACCTCATTGGCTACGATACTGCCACTGCGCAAAGCTCATATTTCATTTTGAAAGAGAGTCTTGCTAAATTTCTTGGGTTGGCCTTGAATGTGGAATCCTCTTAGCTCAGCCTCCTAAGTACTTGGGCTAACAGGCACGTACTGTAGCTAAATTAATCTTTAAGTGGTTTGATTTCATCATTACTCATGTTGTAACTTTCAGCTAAAATCCTCAGAACTACCCTACTCCAAGCTGCAAGGAGAAAAACATAAAGTATATTAGTTCCTCAGTATACCCATGATTGGATCCAGGACTCCCACTTCAAACACCAAAATCCAAAGATGTTCAAGTTTCACAAAATGACATAGTATCTTCATACAATCTATGCCTATCATTTAATGAATGAATGAATTAATGGTCCTGGGGATCAAACCCAGGGCTGCTCTACCACTGAGCTAACATACAGTCCTTTTTGAGACAGAGTCTTAGAGTTGTCGAGGTGGGATGTGAAATTGTTATCCTCCTGTCTCAGTCTCCCTCAGTGCTAGAATTACAGGCATGTACCACCAAGCTCAGCTCCCACATTTTTTTTTTTGGTACCTGGGATTGAACTCAGGTCCTTGTGATTGCGAGGCAGTCACCAGAACCACTGAGCTAAATCCCCAGCCCAACTCCCACATTCTTTAAATCATTTCTAGCTTCCTTATCAGATTGTTTAGTAAGTTTTTAAAAGGAAAAAAGTCAACTGCATTATGTTCCATCCCTACTCATGCCCAGAGTGAATAGGGGCCTAAGCAGAGTGGGCTGTCCAGGTTCCAGAGGCCAAAACATCATCTATTTATGGGGGCACTGCAAGCCAGGCTGGGCAACTCCTTTAGATGCCAACATCTAAAACAGAGCTTCCTAGCTCCCAGCTCTCTCCTGGAAGCAAATATCCATAAGTAGGGAGATACTGGGCAGCCCCCAGAGCCTGTTAAATCTGTCATCTGGATGGATACCTCATCTGAAGGCCAGGAAAAGCCTTACTCTTACCATCTTACTCTAAGTGAGTTCCAGGGACAGGCTGTAGGCAAAGAGAGGTCTCAGGCAGTTCCTACAGGGACACACCTGCCCTGAAGTTTCCTGCTTACCAGCCACTTGTTGGACAGAGCTTAGGAATCATGGCAGTAAGTCTAGGACAGCTGTTATACGCAGAGAATTTCCGGGGGCATACAGGAAAGTTTTCTTTAGGAAAAGAAGCTATACTCACCTGGGGCTGTGATGCCCAATACTCCCAGGCTCCCGAGCTGCTTCCAAAATTTCTGTCAAGAGAATGGAGTAGACAGTGCTGTAGGTAGGCAGCCAGCCACATTTGGGTGGAACAACGGACCTCATGCTTCTGAAGGAAGAGCTGCCTCCTTTGGGAGGTTTCTGTTACCAGATGATGTGATCTCTTTCAGGCAACAGAAAGCCCAGCTCCCAATCGCCCTCCCTGCCTTGGACTTAAGACTCACTCGAAGGTCCTTGAACTCGTTGCTTTGATCGATCTCCTGGGCCTTGGGAGCCAGGTGCTCCTGAAGGAACTTAGCCATGGTCTGACGAAGCTACAGGGAGAGAAGTGGGCAGATGGCACTGAAACCAAGCCACTGCAGCAACATCTCCATTACTGAGGACAGAGTTAGGGAGCCAGGACACAAGTGACCTCACCAAATGGCGTAGATCAAAACTCAGGCTTCGAGAGTTTATGCTTCCTCAAAATAAGATTAGCCTTGCCAAGTGCAAGGATGTCCAACCCCGGAAAAAAAAAAAAAAAAAAAAAAAAAAATCTCAGTTTAGACGGCTCGATGATTTAAAAAACGCCTAATGTTGAAGATGATTTTTCTAAATGCCACTCTCCTATATAAAGCTATCCCATCTCTTTCCTTCGTACGCAGAATAAAGCACAGGCTCCTTATCCAGGCCTACACAGCCGGCAGGGGAGACCCCAGGGCTTTCCAGGTAGATTACAATCCCACCCCTCGCGAAGCTCCACCCACACCTCCGTCAAGTCTTGGGGACTGTCAGGCTCTTTACTTTTTTTGGGGGGTACCGGGGATCGAACGAATCGTTGCGCTTGGAGGCAGGCGGCGGCACCACTGAGCTAAATCCCTATCCCCATGCTCTTTATTTTTACTAACCCCGAGATTTAGGCTACAAAAGTTGTGATTACAGAATTCTTTGGGTGGAAAGACGAACTAGGATGGAATCCTGAAATCTCTGCCAACTACCCACATGCTTTGAGGTTTCATAGACTCACAAGAGCACGCCTAAAGCTACCAGATAATCAAGCTGCTCTCAGGCAGCCCAACCAAGCCCCGGGTCAAACTTCGTTCAAAAGGCCCCGTGAGCACGGGCGGGCTCTGCAGAGGAGGCCTTGGGGTGCGGGAGTGGGTCGTTCTCCCTACTTGCTTCTGCTCCTCGCTTAGCCGGTTGATCGCATCGTCCACGGGCAACAGCGAATGGGCCCGCCGGGAAACCAGGCTGACCACAGGGGGAAGCAGTGGCCGCAGCTTCCAGTTCGACACAGGCGGACAAAGGAGCCGGGTCGCAGTCGCCATTTCTGCCTTACTCCAGGAGCCAGAGGTGCCACTGAGCCAGCCTCTCTGCACCAGCCCTTCTGGTGGTACCAATCGGGCTTCAGCTCTCTGCCCAATCAGCGAGGGGGGTGGGTCTCTAGTGGCCATTTACCTTCGGCGGCGTGATGGAGGCCCGCCCTCAGCCTGCAAGCGAGCCAATCAGCACGACCTCCCGTAGCCGGCTGCTCCGAAAGCCTGCAGGGTGCAAGCCCAGGACTCTGGTTTGGCTGGCGTTCTCCCTTGGTTAGAAATTTTTTTGGGTCTTTTCTCTAGATCGGTACTATAGTATCGCCTTGAGATGAAAATAGAAGTTCTTAAATTTCAGGCCTCAATCTATGGAAAAGCCAAGTAGTAAACTCAAAACTAATTGCCGGAAGGCCAGTATCTGGGAATAAATTGGACAAGCAAATTTGTGAGAGCTAAATTTGGGAAAGTAGCGCTGGCCCTACTGTGCACACTGATGTAAGTAAAGCTTGCTCCTTTTTAAGACAGTGTGTGTCGATTTTGATTCGGGTTTTATGGTAAAGAGGTCGTTAGGGGACAGCTGCCTACATACAAAATATATAACATATTTTGAGGATAACTGAGTGTGGTAGTGCACGCCTATAGTCCCAGGACTCGGGAGGATGAGGCAGGAGGATAGCGCGTGTTTTAGGCCAGCCTGGGCTACACAGTGAGTTCAAGGCCAGCTGGAACTACACAGGGACATCCTGCATAAAAAACAACAAAACAAAACAAAACAGCTGCCCAGACCTTTCTCTTGGGTGAGCAGCAGGAAGGAAGAATGGCCTTGAGGGGAAGGACAGCTGACAGAATTCAGCCTGCACCCCTTCCGGGTGTATGATCCTCCTCTGTGAGGGGTCAGTGCCCTTGAGGAATTCACACCTTTGAATAGGTCACAGTGGCCTGAGTCCAGAGACATATGTGTTTGCAGTCCCATTACCTCACTGTGGGACTTGGGGCAAGTTTCTTGGATCTTTTGGCCTCTTTTATCATCTGTAAAGTAAAAACAAGACCACCTGCTTGAAGACTATTGAGAGGAATAAAAGGGACTGCAGGCTTGTGCAGGGGGGTGTAGCACAGTGGTAGGACACATGTTTAGCGTGCATGAAGCCTAGTTCAATCTCCAGTACCAAAAAGAAAGTAAAATAAGAGATCGCATACGTATTCAGCACAGCATTTAGCACATTGTGGTCTCTTGTGGGAAAGTGTGTGTGTGACTGACTGATGACTCAGAGCTCTGCACTGAGCTACATCCCCAGCTATTTTTTTCGAGACAAGGTCTCACTAAATTGCTGAATTTCGCAGGCTGGACTTGAACTCGCAATCATGCTTCAACTTCCCAGCGTACTGTGATCACAGGCCTGGACCCCCACACCCAGCTACATTGGTCACACGCTTAGTCCTTCTTAGCCATTCTCTGACCCATTCTCTGGCTCGCAACTTCCTACATTCTAGGATTCCCTAATGAGGAGCAAGTAGCTAAGCACACATAATGGCATCTTTTTTCAACTCTAGTTGAAATTAATTGCTTAGATATTTTAAAACTGTCCTTTTTTGGGGGGGGTACCAGGGATCAAACTGGGTTCCTTGCACTTGAGAGGGAAGTGGCAGCACCACTGAGCTAAATCCCTAGCCCCTGTCCTTTATTTCTTGAAGGGCAAAGAAGTTTGTGTACAAAGGCAGTAATTGGGGAGGTGAGTCTTGGTGGTTTTTCCCAAGACTTCCCTCTGCAAAAATGAGCAAATAGTGTGGAGGCACAGGCCTGTAATTCCAGCACTTGGAGAGCAGAAGGATCGCTGTGAGTTTGAGGTCAGCCTGGGCTACAGAGTGAGACCCTGTCTCAAAAGAGGAGGAAGTGTGGGGGCGGGGAAGAAGAGAAAGAGGGAGGAGGAGAAGAAAGAAATTAATAGGCTGGAGCCTAGGGCAGTAGAACAAACCTGTAATTCCAGTACTCTGGGAGGCTAACGTAGAAAGATTACACATTTGAGCTAGTGACTTAGAACCTGTCTCACCAAAGGGGAAAAAAAAAAAGGTCTGGGGATATAGCTCAGTGAAGTTCCTAGATTCAACACCCAGTACTGAAATAAAGAAAGTAACACTGGAGATGTAGCTTAATGACAGAGTACCAATAGGAAAAGTTGCCACAAACAGAACTGCTGAGACAGGCTGGAGGGGCTGCTCGGTGGTAGAGCACACCTGTGCCAAGGCCAATTCCCAGGAGGGATGGCTGGAAATGTAGGTTCCTGTCGTGTTGGTAACTGCCCCTTCACAGAATCATACCAGCCCATACTCTGGCCATTGTTATCAGAGCACCCTGTATCTCCCCAGCCTCACCAAGAGTGACTGAAGAACTTCTGGCATTTTTACATACTGATAAGGGAGACAATGCCTTAGGGTGGTTGTACTTTCCATTTCTCTGCTTACAATGAGGTGAATTTTCGCATCTCTGAGACCTCCTACTGCTCATCAGGTCACATCCTTTGCCTGTGTTCTGGTAGGCGAATGCTGTACTACCCTTTCTTCTTCCTTTCTCCACCCTCACCCCCCCTCCACTACTGGGGATTGAACCCAAGGCTCCACACGCAGCTACATCCCCAGCCTGTGTGTGTGTGTGTTTGGGTCTCCCTAACTTGCTCTGTTGCCCAGGCAGGGTTTGAATTTGAGACTTTCCTGCTTCAGCCTCCTAGAATGCCGCAATTACAGGCTTGCCTTCCTCCCCCTGGCCCTTTTATCAGAAAACCTCACTCCTCACTCCGGGAGCTTAAATTGGCCTTAAATTTGAGCTTTTCCTGCTTCTGCCTTCCAAGTGCTGGGATCAGAGGTGTGTGCCACCATAGTGCCAGTCTACCTGTTCTACCAAGTAGCCTGTGCATTTGTTTTTGCACAGGAGTCTCCACAGTATCTGAGACTGAAGGTTCTTTTGTCCTATTCGGATGGCAAAGTGCTGCTCTGGTGAAGTTAGCGGGTCGGAGTATCAGTGGCTATTGGGCCTCAGTGCCACAACTCTGAGCCTTGAGTGTCAGTGCCTCTTAGCTCTGAGTGTCATAGCCCTGCATGTTAGTCCCTGGAAGCTTCTGGGTGCCCCTAGCAGCCCCATGGCAGCCCAGGGATTTAGCTCAGTGGTTCTGCTGCCTGCCTTGAAAGCACAAGGTTCCCTGATACCAAAACAAACAGACAGGAGAAAGTAAACAACAGGTGGAGCGAATTCAGAGACTGAAAGAAACTAAACACAAACCGCCATGCGCGGGGAAGGGGAAGGAGCACTTCCTTCCTGCTTTTCCGCCCTCAGGAAGAGTGCCAGTGTTGCCAGTTCCTCTGTGAATTCTCTTCTCTGAGCACCACTCCCCTCTTGTGTGCATCCTGTACTCTAATAATCCCTTCTCATGGCACCTTCTGATGTAACCTGAGTTTTTTGAGACTTGTAGTTGGCCAACCTGCCACAGCGGGTGGGTTACATGTGAGAAATTTTCAGACCCACCCAGCCCAGTGGCAGGCAGAACAGGCCTGGCTCACCAAGCCCCAACCACACAATCTTCCCTCTTCTTTTGTAACAGCACTAAGGATTGAACACAGGCCTTTGCAATGAGCTGCGTCTTCAAGTGCTGGGATCACAAGGGTGCGCCACCATGCCTGATATTTGCCATTTTAACTTTTAAAATGGTTGCACAGGATCAAACCTAGGGCTTCTCCTGTGCTGTGCATGCTACCTCTGAGCCACACCCCAAAGCCTTGACACAGCTTGAAGTGCTGTTCAGTGGCATTGTCTACCATTGTGATTTCCAAAACTTTCCCATCATCCCACACAGAAACTTGGTGGTACAACCTTCTTCCTCCTTTACTTCAGCCTCCGCTAACTTCTATTTGTATGAATTTACCTAATTTAGCAGCCTTATAATAGTTTTCCATTTGCTGTTTTCAGACAGGGTCTCCCAGGCTGGCTTCAAAGGGAGGTAGGTGATCCTCCGGCTTCATCCTCCTGCTAGAATTACAGGCTTGTGCCGCCACACCCAGCCCATTTGTGTTATTTTTTTGAAGCCTGCCTTGAGTATTTAAGGCCACTGGAAGAGGAGGAAAACAATGAGCAAACACAAACCTTGAGGAATTTGATGATGGAAACAGGGAAGGTGTTTTCTTTGCAGAGGGGGGAATCGATCCAGGGCCATAAGCATGCTGAGCACAAGCTCTATTCTTGAGCTGCATCCTCAATCCCAAAGGTGTTTTTTGGCTTTTGGTTTGGTTGTCTTAAACATGGTTGTAATTTCAGCCAATAAGTCCAGGTTAAAAATTACCAGTTCAGAAGGAACTAGAATACTTGCAGAAGCATTTTAAAACCAGGACACTGTGTTTTGGGGTGGGGAGACAAACACTGTGCAAGTTGGGGGCAAGATTATAAAGGGAATCTTTGCCATGTTTACATTTTGAACTTTAATAATATCACCATCAAGATCTGAAGCCAGGCATTGAGGCACACACCTGTAAACCCATCATTCTGGGTGGCTGAGGAAGGAGGATTGTAAATTAAAGCCCAGCAGCCTGGGCAATTTAGCAAGACCCTATATAAAAATAAAAAGGGTTGGTGATGCAGCTCAGAGCAAGGCCTGAGTTAAAAATCCCTAGTACCAAAAGAAAAAAATATACACACACACACTGAACAAAATATAAGGCATGAGCTGGGAATTTAGCTCTGTGGTACCATGCCTGTCTCACAAGCGCAAGGTCTTGAGTTTGATCCCAGTACCAAAACAACAGCAACAACAAACAAAATATAAGGCAAATATTTAAATTAAAAATATTACAGCCAGGTGTGGTGGCAGATTACCTGTAATCCCAGCACTCTAAGGAAGCTGAGGCAGGAGGATGGCTTTGAGTTCAAGACCAGCCTGGGCTACATAGCAAGACTATCAACAAAAAAAAAAAAAAAAAAAAAAAAAAAAAAAAAAAAATTCAGTAAAAGACACTACCATTAATCCCCCTTGCTTCGAACATACTTGTTCCATTGTTCTTACTACAAAGCATTTCTGGAAGTCCTCTCTCATGAGTGTTTTAATGAGGTACGATCATAAATACAGGGAATACTGCTGCTGAGCGCCACTGAATGGAAGGGCCGGCTTGTAAAAACACAGACTTAGGGGATGGGGATGTAGCTCAGTGGTACTATGCCTGCCTGACAAGTCCAAGATCCTGAGTTCAATCCCTGGTACTGAAAAACAAAACTAAACCCACAAGAAAACCCCACAAAGGCTTGTTTCCATCTGCCTTGGTCACCAGACCTGGTATTATGTGACTTCTGGCTCTTTCTCAAAGTTAAATGACCATGAAAGGTAAACATTTTTAATCAATTCAGGACACTGAGGGAGCCACAAAGGTGCAGCTAAAGACACAAAAGGTGAACTGCTTCAGAAAGTGGTGAGGACATTGGATGTGTTCAAAGTGGGGGAAGTATTTCTTTTTTGGTACCCAGGATCAAACTTGGGACCTTGCACTTGTGAGGCAGATGGTGGCACCAGTAAGCTAAATCCCTGACCCAAGAGGGGAGTATTTTGGGGGGCATTAGTGGCAATGTATCTTTTTTACTGTAATTTTTAATATGGGGGATTGAACTCAGGACCTTGTGCTTGCAAGGCAGGCGCAGTGCTACTGTGCTAAATCCACAGCCCTGTAATGCATTTTAAAAATATTTTCCATATTTTTCAATCATGTATGTTAATAAAAATATTATTAGTTTTAAAGTCTGCATACCTATTGTTTAGACCTAACCAGTTAACAGAATAGAACTGTTAGGAATTTCTTTTGATGTGTCATAAAAAACACAGACACAGCTGGGTGTGGTTGGCGCACGCCTGTAATCCCAGCACTTGGGAGGCTGAGGCAGGAGGATCACTGTGAGTTCAAAACCGGCCTAGGCTACATAGTGAGTTCCAGGTCAGTCTCAACTACATAGTGAGACCCTGTCTCAAAAAAACAAAACAAAGCAACAGAGACATAGGGCCAGGAATTTAGCTCAGAGGTTCTGCTGCCTGCCCCAGCAAGCACAAGGACTTGAGTTCAATCCCTGGTACCAAAAACAAGCCCAACAAAACAAAACCAAAAATAAAAAAAAACAAAACAGACATAACTAGATGTGGAGGCACAATTCTGTAATCCCAGCTCTTGGGAGGCTGTGGCAGGATCACCATGAATTTGAGGCCAGCCTGAACTACATAGCAAGACCTTGACTCAAAAAAACCAAAAAAAAAAAAAAAAGACAACTAGCCAAACAAGACTAAGAAAATTTGGCTTTGAGTTTGGCAAACCTGAAGGGAAGCTGCTATAGACTTCAGGCCACAGACTATGTGATGTATGGACCAGACCAAGGACTGGCTGTCAGCAAACTGCAGGCATCTACAGCAAATACACACAGTGACTGGGAAAACCTGTGGGAGCCTGGCATCTGCTGCTACAAATGGGGACACCCAGTGACACTGGAAAGTAGGGGGCGAGTGGAGGGTGGACTCAATGAACAGAGGAAAACATTCTGGGTAAATCAGAATATTGAACATATTATCATAATGTCCGGTTGACACACAAGTTAAAAAGCTATTTTCATTCCTCAATGTTACAGTTAAAGTTTTATGGAGATATTTATTTCGAAAAAATACAATTTTTTGTTTTGTTGAGAGTCTCACTGTGTAGCCCAGGCTGGCCTCAAACTCACATCAATCCTACCTTAGCCTCCTGAGTGCTGAGATTACAGGTGTATGCCACCATGCTTGGCTATTATTTTTTTGGTACTGGGGAATCGAACTCAGGATCTTGTGCTTTCGAGGAAGGTGTGGTGCCACTGAGCTAAATCCCCAGGCCTATTTTATTTTTTGGTACTGGGGATCAAACTCAGGACCTTGTGCTTGCAAGGCAGGTGGCAGCACCACTGAGCTAAATCCCCGGCCCTCCTATTTTATTTATTTATTTTTTGGTACCAGGGATTGAACTCAGGTCCTTGCACTTGCGAGGCAGGCAATGGAATCACTGAGCCAAATCCCTGGCTTTCTTATTTTTATTTTTCGAGCCAGGGTCTCACCACGTAGTTCAGGGTGGTCTTGAAACCATGGCAACTTCTCCCGAGTGCTGGGACTACAGGCGTACACCACCACAGGCAGTTTAAAATACTTTAAATAAAAAAAGCAAATGCCATTTAGAGTAAAAGCTCCCAATGTATTTTTTTCAGGCACTGTTATTGATACCTTCATCCCATTTATTAAGCAAAAAACCTTCATGCAACTTCAAGTTCATAACTTTCAATGAAGTGCAGAGCCCAACCACGATGGGACACAACGCATCACAAGAAAGAAGAGGACAGTGTGGCTTCTCAAGTGTTGTCTCCCGTGGAATTAACGCACTCCAATTGTAATCAAGGGTTTCCTTCTGCAAATCTGTCTGTGACCGCCTAGGTCCTGGCTGGTGTAGTTTCCTGATCTGTATGCTCAGTCGCCATCTTGCTGTGTCGCAAAGCTTACCTTGAACTCCTTAGCTCAAGGGATCCTCTGCCTGCCTCAGCCTCCCCCATGCTTGGATCAGATGTGTGCCCCTACGCTTGGCTCTCATCTCCTGATCTAACGTGTGTCGGAGAGGCCTTGGAGGTGGATCAAGCTTCCCGGTCCCTCTCTTGTAGCCTCTGTTATCTACTGTGAGGCTCCGGAGAGTTGACCAGTCTAAAGACAAGAGAACTTGCTTAATGGAGAAGCTGCTATTGCAGCAATAAACTGCCCTAATCTGATTCCTCAAACTGTTTTCACCCTGAAGACAGTGAGTCATAGGAGTCTATGGCCAAGATGTCCTAAGTGGCTTCCTCAGAGTTCATCCCTGAGAAGGAGCCATCAGGCCGCTGTCCTTTGATTACATCTCCAATAGCTGCTCCATTTCCTCCAGCGCTTTTGTAAAGTCAGTAACTTGTCGCTTATATAAAGTTCGCTGCTCTAGGAATTGGGCCCGTTCTTCTTCTTTCATCTTCAACTTTACTTTTAAGGCCTGTCAGGAAAGGAAATGCAAAAGAAAAGAAAACAAAATAACAAAAAAACACAAACAAAACTCTTGAGTAGCAGGAAAACAATACCCACACCAGAGCAGTATGCTTTTGTTTCACTGAGGAAGGTCATGGGAATACTGACAGACATGGGTTTTCTGTCTTGGACTCTGTGCTGCATTGAGGAATTGTTTCTTTATGCTAAGGTATCTTCTTGAGACACATCATGGATCTCACACAGGCCCCGCCTGCCACCTCTGAGCACCTTACAGAGCTGTATGCTGCTCTTCCCTCATCCCCTGGAGATGTGAAATTTTCTTCTTTGTGGTGTTGGGCTTGGAACTCAGGGGCTTGAACACACTAGGCAGTGGGCCAAGGGCTCTACCACTGAGCTGCATCCCAAGCCCTCAGTGGAAGTGTTTCTACGAGACCTCAGGAACAGAAAAAGGAAATTAGTGGGAAAAAATAGATGAAGTCCAAATGAAGTCTTGGAACGTAGTTAATGCGACAATGTTTCTTAGCTTTGAAAAATGTACAATGATAAGATATTACTATTAGGGGAAGTCTTTGGGACTTTTGTGTAATAAATCTACAATCATTTCAAATAGTTTATTGAACCGAAAATGGGAAAGAAAGACTCCACGCTAATCTACCCAAGGAGGTAGGAAATGCTAATCCTGCCTCAGAGTGATGTCTGCCCCTCACCTGTAACTCCTCCATCTGCTTCTTGGCTGTTTCATTAAATAGCTTCAGCTCATCTTGTAAAGTTTCTAACAGCAGCTGAGAGGAAAGTGCAATGTAATGAGCAAATATTCATAAAGCCAAATGGCTCCAATTAACGTCCCATGTAACAGTTATCTCTCACTGAGGACTGACCACACTTGCAGGCCTCGCTACTGGGTCCCTCAACGACTGTTCAGTGACTGAAGTGAGAAGAGCCAGGCTGTCCCATTATGACATACTGTGCTATACAGAGCTTTGGAACAAAACGTGCCAGCCGGGGAAGGGGTGACTGACAGCTCGAGGGAGCAGAGGAGGGCTTTCTGGGTAGTATCCTATGGCCCGAAATGACAACTGATCTATCTTCCTTCTTCAGAGAAGGAACAAACGCACACTGCAAACTCAAACTCAACAGACTGGACCTTTGCGTCATACAATTCTCAGCAAAGGAGTACAGGAGAAATGTGATAAAGTACAGAATGGAGAAACCAGAAAGCTCCCAACACAGGTTCACTCTATCATGTGATTTTGTTCTTTCAGAACTGGGGATTGAACTATACTAGGTGACTGCTCTACTGCTGAGCTACATCCCCAATCCTTCGTAAATTTTTCTTTCGAGGCAGGGTCTTGACAAGTTGCCCAAGCTGGCCTCAAGGTTGTAATCCTTCTGTCTCAGCTTCCCAGGTAGCTGGGATTATAGGCTTATTACATGTTTTCAAGTAGTACATTTTCACTGGGTGTAGTGGTGCATGCTTGTAATCCCAGCACTCAGGAGGCTGAGGCAGGAAGGTTCTGAGTTTGAGGCCAGCCTGGGCTACAAAGTGAGGCTCTTTCTCCAAAACAAACAAATACAAACAAACAAAAACCCAAAACATAAATAAATATAATACATTTTCAATTTAGAATATTTGTAAGCACAAAGCCATCCTTCAAGTAAAATACGCTACTGGGCACACAGCAGAGGCCTTCTCAGGCCACCCAGCCCTGCACCTTTCCAGCCAGGCCCTCACCACAGAGTCCATGTGGTCCATAGTGGCTTCCTGCTGTGATGCCAGGGTGTTGCTGCCTAGAACAGATGGGAAGAGCGAAGTCAGCCTAATGAGAACCACACTGCAAGAAGAAAGCAAAACCTCCTCCAGGGACAAGTGCAAGAGGAGTCTTCCTGGGGACCCTCTGAGTGCCTAGTCCTGGGCAGTCACCCACTCAGGCCCTCCAGAACTCTATTTCACCTCCTTGCTCTTCAAGCTTTCATATGGCCAAAATTCATTCTGCTCTCCTTAGCTCAGTGGAAACTTTGTCCAGAGGAAACCAACAGGTTAAATTTTAAAATTTTGTTTATAATACACAAAACTATTTTTAAAAATCTTGATCCAGGACCGGGGATTTAGCTCAGTGGTTCCACTGCCTGCCTTGCAAACTCAAGGTCCCGAGTTCAATGCCTAGTACCAAAAAAAAAAAAAAAAAAAAAAAAAAAA